GCATAGGTGAAAGGTGATGTTGACGATCGATCCCAATGTCAAAGGTTAGTACATGACATGGCCCCGCAGCAATCGATGCTAATACGTCGTCTTCGGGATGCTCGATGGACCAAATTGGCTCCACCACATGGGAACATACATGATTGATGGGAGCGTCCAACGGATGCATGTGGATGTCTCCCGAGTGGAATGGTTAATGTTTTTCCACTATTATTGATAATATTAATATAATATAAAAATACTGTAATTGAATCGTCCATAGAAAAAAATGAAAAAAAAATATGAGAGAATAAGTGACTGAAGGTATTTTATTTATTAAAAAATATCATTAGAAAATTAGATATTTTTGAAAGAAAAAAAAAAGAATTTTCTCAAAAATTCGCCCATAATTATTTACTTTACATCTTATCTTGTTCAACTCCATGACGACCGACTCTAACCCTCCATTTGGAGAACTAGTGTTGTTCAAAAGAGTTAATTAGTTATTTTTAGTATTTCAATCCTTAAGATATTATACTTATGAAAGTAAAACATTGAGATAATTTTATAGGATTAAAAATAAAAAAGAGAAAGGAGTTTTAAATATTTTACATTTGTATTTTAATATAACTTTTAAAAGTTAATTACAAAGGATAATCTATAATTAGTCATATTTAAAGTTACGATCGTGTGTGATGTGATGTGATGTTTAACCTCCGTTTGTACGAAGATTGATGTTGAAAAAATTTCTCATGTCATCCATCGAACATCCTTCTTTAGTTGTTAGTGGTCAAAGAAATATTATTTATTATTTATTATAATTTAATCAACGTGACATATTCATGAATTGGCTTTTTGTCATTTTCGGTGGCATAATAGCCGTGTGACTCTCCACTTTTTCTTAATTTTGGTCTTTAATTTTGGATCGGCTTTCTCTACTTTTTCTTGTTTTTGGCATGAAAATAACATGGTTTAATATAGTTGATAAGACTTCGACGCAAGAAAATGACAACCGGCATTCGTCCCTACTGCTTTGCTGTTGTGAACTTGATGAGAACACAAGCATAATAATGTGTTGGCAGTGGAGCAGCTTCTGGCTTGACATGGCTACCTACAAGGAAATGCCATGCACTGGGGAAGGCAAGAAAGATATGGTTGACCCCATGTAGATTGCATCACACACCAACTTAAATGATTGATGGCAACTTTTACTTTTGCACTCGGTTAGCTCATATGTCACATAGCTTCATGTGTCAAGGTTCCATATCATAGACAATCTATTGGTTTTAATTAATGTATTATTTCTTTTAGAACCACTAACCCACTATAACGCTTAAAGAAAAAAGAATAATTGTTGCCTTTTTATTCCTACAATAAAAAATATAGTAAACGCAACACATGATCGATAGAGTATTTGAAAAAAAATATGAATTGACTTATAAGAGTCTGATAAATTATTATTATTAATTTGAGCATCGGTGTAATTGATTCCGGTCTACAGAGAACCGACAGGTTGGATTGTTAGATAGCTGACATTGACATGTGGGTCATTGACTCGCTACTTAAAATATATTAAACAATTATTAAATGGATCAGTGATTTAATCTCAATAATTTAATGCATCTAATTTGAATTCCTTCCTAAGGAGATGAACGAAAGACTCATCTTTTTGAGTCACATGAAGCCTGTGGATTCACCTTTAGTCACTTTTCCTTCTGAGAGAAAGCAAAAGTTAGGGAAGATGAGGTGATATGTGCTCGAGTCACAGGACGCCTATGGGTTTAACCGTTCAATAAATAAATACACTTTGACTTCCAAGAAAAGAATTACTACGACGAAAATAATAATAATAATGTAATTTCAGGGGTGGGGAGTGACAGAAAGCTTAATCGTATCTGTTTTCTTGATATTTAGGCAATAAGCTCACTATGATCTTTCCATGTCGAAGATGTGTCACACAATAATAGCTCTGTCCTTTTCCCCTCCGGCACTGGTAATTCATCTGCCACACCTACGCTGTCATTTGGTGCCATGCAAACCATCCCAACGCTGTAGGTTTACGATGCAGCCGTCACGACAGCAACACCCACTCGGGCACCCCTCCTATATATGTCGACCTAATGATACATGTGGTGGCCTGGCCATCACAGGAACTCTCTGCGCTCCGATGGCTTCCTCTTCCACGGTCTTTGCCTCTGCAGCCTTGGTTCTACTTCTCCTTCTCGGCGGCACCTCTGCGCAGCTATCCACCAGCTTCTATTCCTCGTCGTGCCCCAAGCTGTTTAGCACGGTGAAACCCGTTGTCCAGTCTGCAATCTCGAAAGAGAAGCGGTTGGGTGCATCCGTCCTTCGCCTCTTCTTCCATGACTGCTTTGTTCTTGTAATCCTCCCTTGCCCGCAAACATCAGCTGTGTCTCCTTCTTCTTTGCCTGGCATGTCTATGTTTCATGTACGCATGTATATACGTATACAGGGGTGCGATGGGTCGGTGCTGCTGGATGACACGCCCACCTTCACGGGGGAGAAGACCGCTAAGCCAAACAACAACTCCATCAGAGGGTTCGAAGTCATAGACCAAATCAAGACTGCGGTGGAGAAGGCGTGCCCGGGGGTGGTGTCGTGTGCGGATATCTTGGCGGTCGCTGCGAGAGATTCAGTAGTCATTGTGGGTAGTGCTGATGTTCTATCTGTATATGTCATTTAGAGTAAGCTTTTAATGGACCGAAGAAGAGCTCATCTTGCAGCTCGGAGGGCCTAACTGGGATGTGAAGCTGGGGAGGAGGGACTCCAGGAGAGCAAGCATATCCAAAGCTAACAAGCAGATCCCCCCACCGACCTCATCGCTTAGCAATCTCATCTCCAAGTTCTCGGCCAAGGGTCTCTCAACTAAAGACATGGTCGCACTCTCTGGTAAGGATCGAAGCTATGGCAATGCAGAGAACACTTACTTTCGATGCATCATACTTGCCAGATTATACGAACACAATAGATTCGTCTAACATTACCTGCAGATTATTATATCAATCTGCACTCGCTTTTCTGTGCCATCAGCAGTGCAAGAGGTGATCGTGTCAAATCAAGGGTGCCCCTTATTACAAAGACATGAGTTGTCACCTTGCGATTGGCACATGAAAAGCGATAAAGTGATGGAACCATTCAACTTCAATTCATGAAGAAAAAGACGGGAATCTGCTGCCAAAGCACGAAATGGTTCAACTATTGTTCAGGAAGAAAAAGACAAGAATCATAGATTAGCATCGACCAACTTTTATCATTCGGTTGTCTTTGAATCTAAAGAATGACCAGTGGTAAGTATTGGAGACCGGAAACGCCACAACCCCAGGAGTAGAACTTAGAAACCTAGATTATTAGTAGGGTTGGATCTAAGCTTTGAGATTGGTAATATAATTTACGACAAACTAATGCGGATTTATGAATTCAAAAGAAGAAGAAGAAGAAAAAAAAAAAACATCGTACTGATAGAATTGTGCTTCATAAAATCATCTTACTCATAGGAAGGATATAAATTATGGAGGAGAGAGGTAAGTTCTTAGGTTGTGTTAGCTTCTGCTTTAGTATCTGGTGGAGGTCAGGGGGTGTGTCGGCAGGGCTCGCCCGGTCCTACACTCGTGACTGTTGTCATCTTTCTCTTGCCCGGCAAAGGCATGTGCTCCCACAACCATAAAAGGAACGCCAATGGCTTAAAGACGAATTAGAATCCTTAACGACTTAGTTATTGAAACAAATAGCAGAGATTAATGCGAGGGCTGTTGTTCATGTTCTTCTTCTTCTTCTACGTTCCCAGGTTCTCACACCATTGGGCTAGCACGGTGCACGTCCTTCCGGGGACACATCTACAACGACACCAACATCGACGCCTCTTTCGCCAAGAAGAGGCAGGCGAACTGCCCTAGCGCCTCCGGCTCCGGGGACAACAACCTGGCGCCGCTGGACCTGCAGACCCCCACCGCCTTCGACAACAACTACTACAAGAACCTCGTCCGCTTCAAGGGCCTCCTGCACTCGGATCAGCAGCTGTACAACGTCAGTGACTCCACCGACTCCCTGGTCAAGGCCTACATCAGCAGCACCGGCACCTTCTTCTCAGACTTCGTGTCCGGAATGATCAAGATGGGCGACATCAAGCCCCTCACAGGCTCCAACGGCGAGATCAGGAAGAACTGCAGGAAGATCAATTAACGAACCCTCTTCAGAGCATCGGATCAAGGCTTCAATTCCCGCAAGGTAATCGTACGTAGGGGACCTGCCCAACAGTTTGGGGACCCAGAGTTCTTATGCTTTCTTTGGCTCCTACCGAATGTGCTCATTGCCGTATTGTATTCATTAAAAGCATGTACTGTCGCTTGGTGTCTTCTGTTCGCAGCTTAATAGTTGAGATAATAAATGAATATTAAATCCTATCCTTCTCATTGTCTACTTCTTGATTGAGGTCAATTGTTTAGATCAATATTTCACAGTTGTCGTTCTTGGGTTTACTATCTATCGGAAATCATTTGATCCAGCAAGATGAACGAGGAGAAATTTGTAGTCACCCAGTCAGAACTACGTTGAAAGTGGAAGGTGAGATCACGCTGGTTAACGCAAGGGATACAAATTTCGTCGAACTACCTAGGAAAACTATAACATATAAAGGAAATAAGGTAAAAGATGATCAAATGTTGAGATGGCCGAGTTGGTCTAAGGCGCCAGATTAAGGTTCTGGTCCGAAAGGGCGTGGGTTCAAATCCCACTCTCAACATTTAATAAGTTCTTTTTGTCGATGTGAAGGAGTAATTAGATACTCACATGCTCCCAGTTGACTGGAATTAAATACAAGGTAAGCTGTAGCTACTTTCGGTTCTTTGGCATTGAAAGAGCCACCTAAATTCCAGACCCATTTGGGTCATCGACTCATCGACCATATAGCAGCAGCAGGTCGAATGTTTCCAGTTTCTTAAATTGTTTGAAGTCACCGGATCAGATAAGGCATGACCGATGCATTTTGAGACACATTTCTATCGTTTTCATCCACACAGTTATCTTCCGAAGCCATATTATGATACACCATTTGGTGAGAAGAAACAGAAACACATGTGAAAGCAACCATCAAACTGGACTGGCCGATGCTGATCACCATCCTGTCAAGTATGTGGAGTAACGAAGAGCAGAGGAGGAGAGCAACTTTCCAGGGAAACACTGTAACTCTTTAAGCAGATCCTTTTCCGTGCTTCCGGACCAGTGTTTTCTTGTGATCACGGCGTCGACGGAATAGGCTGATGCGTGGGATCCGCTGTACCGGAAAGCAAAGCATGGATCTCGTTGATCCGCCATCCGAGTCGTCGTCGTCGTCGTCCCCTCTGGAGGAGAAGGAAGACCGCTGCAGAGAATTCGAGGAGTTTAATCGAGTGAAGGGGGAGGACGTTAACGAGGAGACCGGCGAGAAGGGCAACGGCGAACGCGGCATGCATGGCTTCCTTAGAATAAGCCTGCGGAATAAGGTGGCTAGGACGCTGAACCTCGACGCCCTTCTCCTCTTCTTCTTGGTGGCCATGATCTTCCTGGGGTGGTGGAAGTGGGAGGGCGGCGGGGTGAGGGGAGGGAGTCCTGCGGCGGCTACGGTGGCCTTGGGCGTCCCCGGCTGCGACTCCCACACGAAGGGCACCGAGCCGGACGACACGCCATAGTAGACCCTGAAGGAAGGGGTGGCCGACAGGGAGCTTTCCTTGGAGAGGAGCCTGGCGTAGAAGTTGCCCTCCTGCTTGATGCGGAGAGGGCTGAGGGGCCGATCCGAGCTTTTGGCGAGCATGTCGCGACCTCGCTTCGACATCAATTGTGGTGCAGCGATACCGTGTGTGAAGACCAACTTAACGAGTAGGAAGCCCCGGCACAAATATTAATGCGCCGAGTTGTGAGCCGCGCAACCTAACTTTCCACATATTGATAAGCTCCACTGCACATGCTGCTGCTCCACGGCAGTATCTCCACAGAGAGAGCGAGAGAGAGAGAGAGAGAGAGAGAGAGAGAGAGGTATATATATATATACTGTATGCAAATGAAGCACTACTGGATGATGATGACCTACGAACTTCTAACCCGTACAGCCAAATTGGACGACGGCCGCGTGCATTTACTTGGAGTGGTTGTTCTCAGGACAACGACGGCAGCGGGCGACCGACTCGGGTGGTCCGGTGAGGATAACGCCTATGTCGTAATTGGAGGAGTTAATCAGCCATTAATAACCATTTTCTCCAACACAAGTAGATTAATCTCATGAATTCTGGAAAGAAACGCAGTGCATGTTCTTTTTTGGAAAGAACAGAGCCCATATGACACCACGTCGATGTGTACGACGTATTCCTGAAGAAAAGGATTGCTAGGATTACGAAAGGATGTCTAATGCAAGCATCGGTGCGACCGGAATAAAATGGGTTGGTTGAATGACATGGACGGAGATAAGCCATGTATTATATCACATTTCATCTGCCTGGAAATATATCTGTGGCGTGTTTTGTCTCCTTGGAGTTGTGGACTGGCGTTCGCGCTGCCAAGACTCCTTAAGACACTATCTAATATCGAGGAAGCTTTGGACGACCGGTAAATGGAGGAATTGGTGGATACGGCAACCATAGAACTGTGGCCGGAAAAGGAGCTCTCTTATCCTAACTGGGGACTGACACCCGCTCTGTTTTCCCATGCGTCGAGATCCACTGCCAAATCCTCTCATGACTTGGCAAACCCACTTGCTAGGTTGATGATGATAGCATCCGAGTGGGACCCAGCAATTGCGAAGGGTAAGAGACGATGATGAAGCACATATAAGCGAAGGGTGTTGAAACGGGTTCCAACCGAACTCTTAGGGCCCAACCCAATCGAATTTATTTTTTATTTGATTTAATTAAAGGAAAGTAGTTTTTGAGATTTTTCAGGCTGGCTATAATCGTTTAATAGTTTAAGATAATGAATTCGATCGAATTGATTTTTTTTAAATTAAGATTGATTCAGTTCAGCTCAAATTATTAACCGAACTAAAGAAGAGTATATTTAATCGAACCCATTTATAGTCTTTAAAATTAAATCAATTCTAAACTAGTTTTAATAGGGAATATTTTAGCATCACCTACGTGTCAACAACTAGTGGCCACCGAGGAGTCGACGTGGAATATGTACCCAACATGTGTTCGAAGAAAGTGTAACCAACTTGGGGAACGATGCATAATCAACTTCGTATCGCTTAAACCATATGAGTCGGCATCGCACGACAGGAGATCAGACAAATCAACCTACATTGTCAAGAGCACACAGACCAACTGCTCACACAATCGTATCAGACGAAGTATTGACGATCATTAATGATCTAAGTACAATTGAGCCATCCCCACAAGTATAAAATACTGACCCCCTGGTCTAAGGAGGAGGGCCAAATCTTTTACACCAAAAACTCACTCACTAACTTAACCATCCAAAGGGTCAAGTCAGGAATCTCCCTCCTAATATCGATTTGTTGTGCAGGATCATAGCATAGACGAAGCCGATCAAGTTCCACCTCGAGTCGATTACGAGAGTACAACAGAATCCCGAGAACCAACCCGACCTCGTCCGTCAACCTCCTAGCCCCGAGAATCCATATGGATGACTATATGCTTTTAAGACAGGACCAAGCCACACCGACTATGAACATGGAGGGCATAAGGTTGCACACAAAGTTTGATTTTGATTCAATTTTAATTCGGTTTGATCTGTCAAATGGATTTGAAGATCCTACATGTACCAGTGCAGTACAAGAATGAGACCTAAACTATGAACATGGTGGGCTACTCTTGCACTTTTGCCGTGGAAAATATTGCAATTTGGGCCCAACCCAACTCATATCAATGGCCGGAGTAACTTGTTCCTTCCCCTCTTCGGAAGGTGATACATTCATAGTTTTCTTCAATAGGAGAAGAACGAATGAATCATTGGCTACTCAGGTTAGTCGATTGGACAATTATTTCAGTTAATTCGAGCTATAAAAGCCAAGCTATAGGAAGAACTAAATCAGTCAGTATTGTGGCTACTGATCATTGGATACATGACACGATGATTGTAATTTGTGCTACATAGTTTATCTTAGTTGGAAGACCAAATCACAAACAGTTGGCCGAGAAGAAATCGTACCTCCACTACGTAGTTGCACCATCCAAAGACAAGACAGGCAGAACTCGACGCAGTGATACACGACAGCGGCAACGCAGAGCCCGCACCTCTCTCTCTCTCTCTCTAGATTTCCCCCACATACGGCCTTCTCAGTGTTTCTGGAAAAACGATTGCTTCTTCTGAGGTCGAGGAATGGGGCTACACAGTGCAGCTTTTAGACGGTAGCTGCACCCCTCCCCGCTGGTGTCAAGCCTCGCCACACATGCCTCTGTGGCTTCCTTCATTATTACTGCAGTCGCCTCGGAGCTTTCCTACACATCAATCTATCGCCTGACTCCAGTGTTTTGGAATTTGGACTGTCATTAGCGTTGCAATCCGGACACATCGACTGCATGCTAACATACCAACGAAGGCGGCAGGACTTGCTTGCATGGAAATGACGAAACATGGAGCAGACAGGTAAATCGAGAATCACATGGCATGAGTAGTTTAAAAAGGGATGGATCGAATCTGTGTTGCGGGCTCTGTTTCGGCTTATAGTAAGGTTGCTCGGTTGCGGGAGAAGACTGTGTACAGCCGACCGCATCCGGTTGTTTCTTTCCCACCTTTATATGGAGTCGATTAGAATGAACAGAGGAACAACAAGAAGTTTGCTTAGACAACAAGGCTCAGCACGAATCTGGGCTGTGGATTGCCGACGAGGAAGCTTAGCGTCGTATTAAATGGTGGAGAGAGGATGAGGAAGACCCATCCATGGTTGGTGGACGAACATTTATGTACCGTACCATCCGACAAGTCGTAGAAACAAAGAAGAAAGATAAAAGAAACATGCATGGTTGCTTGGTGATCAATCTAACACGAACACATTAGTAAATTGCTCTTCATGTCTCACCTGTGAATTAAGGGAGCCCAAACCATCTCATCCTTCATCCTTGTGTTCCTTCTTTCTTTTTCTTTTAAGCTCTTCTACTACATGGACCCCGCTGTGGGCTAAAGACACACCTCAGGTCTCTTTCTCACCCCACCACCACCACCACCACCACCACCCTCTTCTCCTCCCTATTTATCTTCTCCCTCCCTCCCATCCTCCCCTCCAAATCAAGAACCGCCTCATACACACACCAAGGATAACGAGTCTAGCCTTTCCCTTTCATCTTCTTGGAATCATCCTGTGTGTGGTCACTGTAGCTTTTGTGTTGGAAGGTTCTTGTGTGCATGTCTTCTATATTGGGTATCTCAGGCTTAGCTTTTGTGTGGCCGTTGTAGGTACTTTGGGAGCTTTGAGGTCACCACAGCGTTATGATGTTTCTAATTAGCTCTTCTGTTTCTTGTTTGTGGCCGGTTGAGACTGAGATGAGAAGAAAGCACTGAGAGCACAGAGTTTCCACAGATAAGTTCTTTTGTGTTTCTGATGATCTAGAGTTCCTCGGATATCTTTCTTGTTTCGAGGTTTCAGTAGCATATTTCCTTCTCTCTGTCCTTGCCATGATACAGTAGCGTAGATCTAGGCTACTGCGAAGTAGTAAGCCTCTCTTCTTCTTCGTCGTCTTCTTGGTGGTCGAATTAGGATTCTGGGTGATGGGGAACTACAGGTTTAAGCTATCTGACATGATGCCGAATGCTTGGTTCTACAAGCTCAAAGACATGAGTCACAGAGCCAACAAGAACCGCAGCACGCCGCACCCCACGGGGAAAGGCCAGCCTTCAAGAGCAGCAACAAGCGCTACGCCGAAGCCATTCCCGCCACCACAGACTAAGCTCCTCCCCTATAGAGCTTCTTGCTACTACTCCAGCAGAACGGAAGCGGAGAGGTTTTCCTTCTCTCCAACTCGCACCAAGGCCTTGGACACCAATTTCCCCGTGGAACCACCACGGAAGTCCAAGAAGAGAAGCAGGAAGAAGCCCATCCGAGCTCCCACCAAGCCTAAGTTGGTCACCTCCTCTGTCTCCGCTGGCTGTAGCTGCAGAGCTTGGAAGACCGAGTCCGTTCCCGACTTCCCTGAAGTGGAGAGCCCGTTGCGTCAACGCGACTACTATATCGACGGCGAGGATCTCGAATTCCAAAAGAGCAACTTCGACGACGACTACGGATTCCAGTGTAATGACCTGTCCTCCCGGTCGAACTCCTGTAGCTGCAGATTTATATCGTCTCCGACCGATATCATCATCGATATGGATACCAAGACCTCGATCACTCCAAAACCGGAGAAGCTCGATGAGTTCGACTCGGTCTCAGAGCTCAGACTCCCTCCAATCATCACCAAGCCAGCAACGAAAGAACCGGAAGCAGTCAAATTCGAGGACAAAGATGTGGAGGACAAGAAGCAATCCATGAAGCCCTCTCCCGGATTTCATCGTCTTCGAATGCGAACCAACTCGCCACGGCTTTCAAGCAAGAAAGTTCAGGCTCACCGCAGCAGGAGGTGCACTGGGTCGACCACGACATCGGCCACCGCAATGCAGAAGAGGAAGGGCTTATCGGAGAGCTTCGCGGTGGTGAAGTCGTCGTCCAACCCTCACAGGGACTTCAAGGACTCTATGCTGGAGATGATAGTCGAGAACAACATCCGGGCATCGAAAGATCTGGAGGAACTGCTTGCTTGTTACCTGTCGCTGAACTCCAGGGAGTACCACGATGTCATCGTGAAGGTGTTCGAACAAATATGGTTTGATCTCACTAACATTAAGCTGTAGAACATTTCGTATGAGTCT